TCGATGCTGAATCCGGTAATCGTTATCTAGCTCTCCAACTTTTTCATTTACCCCTCCACACGCGCCACTTTCGAGATCGCCGAGTCCTCGTTTCTTCTCTCGTTCGTTCCTCGTTTGATTTGTTACGCAAACGTTGTCGACCAATCTCGAAACGGGCATGCGCGAAACGCGCTCTCTCCCCTTCTTCCCGAATGTCCGCTTTTTCCTTCCCGAGACGATGAATTTTATCTCCGACGATCTCGCCGGTTTTTCGCGAAACGAGAGGAGGGGAGAAGCGTTATCTCGATGAAAAATTCCAACCACTCTAACGACCCTCCACGTTCTTGACCACGTTCTTCTCTTCATTCCCGAACCTAAATATCTTTGAACGCCCTCGATCGAGTTATTTATTTTATTTAAAATATTTGTTTCGTGAACTCTGGTAATTGGTAAACCGATAACGAGAATATATATGTGTGTATATATATGTATATTGGGTTGTTTCAAAAGTAATTTTGTTTTTTCACACGAGCATTACTAATCGAACGTTTATTCACAGTCAACTTCGTTCTAAACCAGACATGTTAAACTCGTTAACTACCGAAAGCTATATTAAGTATTATATATTAAATCGCAGCCTGCAAAACAAAAAAAAAACAAATGGAAATAAAGATGAAACATAGCTTATATTACAAACAAATCAATACATACAAAATATAAACGTATTAAAAAAAAATATGTATATAGGAAAGTTTCTTTTTTTATTTAACGTTATTTAACGTTATTTAAATAAAAATACTATTTTTTTTTTAAGAAATTTGCAACGTTTTTCATTAACTAAATTTTTAAAATTTGGTTGAATTTGTTGAATTGTTATTTTTAAAATTACTTGTCTGTTGATCTCGATCTTTTCGTAGTTTTATTATTTTTTAAAGTGGAAAATAGTTGTTCGCACAAATATGTGCTACCGAACGTAGATGAAATACGTTTAATTGCTACATATTGGAAAATCTACATTTATGCGCAATAATTTCCCTTATATATGGACATATTTTCTGAAATACGTTCATTTAATTCGTGTACCGTGTACGTACTTATAATTTCAATTAAAGAATCCAGTGTTGTCAAAAGTTAAATAAACGTATTGGTTATCGATCTTGGTGGGCCGCGTGTTTGACATGCCTCTTCTAAACCATGTTGTTATTATATATTTTAATAATTGGCATTTCACATTTATTTATAAGAAAAATTCATTTGATTCCGTTATGTTTTGTGCGCGATAACAAAGTTGCGAGATCGAAAGGAACATATTTTACTCTTTTCATTACCGAAAAAGTAAGAATGCGTTCAGACAAGAAAAAATATATATATATTATAGAATACACGAAGTATATAGAGATGTAACGTATTAACGATACGCCAATGTCAAAACTGGTTTTCGAAATTCCGACATGAAGATAAAATAAAGGCACCGATCGAAGTAAATCGACGAACAATTCGAAGAAATTGCTATGAGATCGAACTCGATTGAATTCGATTGTTCATGATCGATGAAATCAATGAAACTTGATCTTTCATTTTTATGAAAAAAAAAAAAAAAAAAAAAAAAACGAAATTACTTTTGAACCGAGAGAGATTAATTAGTTTGGACGAAAGATCGATCTCGAAAGAGAATGAGAGAAGAAAAGAAGTTTGTTATGGAAGACCAGTTTATTCGCGGAGCGGAGGAATCGAACGGAGGAAGGATTCTAATTGGACCGCGAATTGACGGGCGTCCAAGTTTATTAGATTTCGTTTTGACGGGAGGGGGGAAAGAAAAAGAAACGGAATCGATGAAGAGCAATCTCGTGGCTCGGTGGTAGATGCGGTTTTCGAATTCGGTTCGTCCTCCCCCTCCCCCTCCCCTCTCCTCCCCCATCC